CGCAGAGTGAAGGTTTACAAACATGAGGAGGCCTTTGATCAGAGCCAAACCCCCAGGGTTCTGACTGTTTTTTGTTCCAAGTTGCAGGTCAGGACAGACTCTGCTCTGAACTCCAGCAGGGAAGGTGGAGGGTAGGTGGTGCGGGTGTGTGTTTGCAGTAGTGGGAGGAAGGCTCACGTGGCTTCTTGATTTTCTTTCCAACAACCAGGTTGGGTTTGCATGAGAGAGTTCATTTCAATTCCGTAAAAGTTTGCAGGGCCCCCACTCCTGCCCGCTACTTTCCAGGCACCTAATTATGGAAATCAGGGCGGAGCAGACCCGAAGCAGCTGAGCACAGAAATGTGGAAGATCAGCAGGTGCTTGTGAATGGGACAGAGATAAAGCTGGCAAGGCCGACAGGGAGGTCTGGGGATGGGGGCGTCATCTTTTACACAGGGTGCTCCCAGAGGACAAAGGGGTGTTTGCTAGAGACCTGGAGGAAGTGGGGGAGGCAGCCACATGAAGACCTGTGGGGAACAGCATGGCAGGCAAAGGGAACAGCAAGTACCTAAGCCCCGGCATGGGAGCTAGACTTGGAGGAACTGTAACTGTGTGGCTAGTTCAGAGTGAGCAGCGGGCGTTAGGAAGCGGTGGGGCGGGTCAGGAGGGTCTATTGACCCTGAGGGAGGTGGACACACTGGAGTGTGTGGAACAGAGCGAGGGCATGACCTGGAGTGAGATTGGACAGGATGCCCCCAGCCGCTGTGTGGAAAATGAGGGTGAAATGGGTGTAGCCAGCAGCCATTGTTTCTGCCCACCCAGCAGCGTCCGGTTCTCCTGAGACACCTTGATTTTCCTTAGGGCAGTGGTTCTCAGAAGCATCACCTGGGGACTTCTTAGGAACGCAAATTCTCAGCCCAGCCCAGGCCTTCTGGCTCACTCGGGCGGGGGGCCTGCCCACGTGGAAAAGTGCACCCCGGCCCCCTGGCTTATTAGTGGAGCACATAAAGCCGTATTAAAATTGCTTCTTTTTTGGTCTCTAAAAATAGTAGTGATATAAATTACATACTAACTCCACCACGACAGCAGGTTGTTACCGTGGGCGGGCTCTGTGGCAGCGCTCCGTGGGCCTTCTTCCACGTGCTTGCGGTGGCCGTGGGAGGAGGGACCGGTTGCCTCAGGGGCAGGAGCGGTCAGCAGGCAGCTTCCGGCTGCTGCCCCTTTCAGGGATCGGGTCACAGGCAGAGAGTGGCCTCATATCTGAGCTCACACCCTCCTTCCAGGGTGGCCCACCAATGACTAGGTGATGAAGGCCCGGTCACCTCCGTGCGCCCTGGGACCCTCTGCGGGCCTCTGTAGCTACAAAGCTCCCCGCGGGCCAGCCGAGGCTGTGTTCGGGTCCGCCTCTCAGGCCCGCTCTCCCTCTGCCCTCCCTGCCTCCCTCCCTTCCCTTCTGCAGCAGAGGGGTCCCCGAGGGCATGGCTTGGTGAATCTTCCACACGCTGCACTGCATCTCAGAGTCTGCTTCCCGGGGACCGAGACCAATGACAGCGCTCACAGCAGCTCCCTGAGGGAGGCGCTTTGCAGAAGGTGCTGAGCCTTGTTGAGGCTCAGAGAGGGGCAGTGAGGGGGTCCCAAGCCATGCCACCACTAAGCAGAAGTGGGATGGGACGCACCAAACTTCTGAATAGGGAGGTGGCATAAGCTGGCTCCAGAAGGGTGCCTCTGGCTGCTGACTGGGGGACGTAGGGAGCTAGGGCAGAAGCAGGGGGTGCGGGGGCAGAAGGGAGACCACAGATGGCAGCAACGCAGGGAGAGGTGAGGGGGCTGCTGGTGGTAGTGGGATTTTCTTACCGCGACGGTGCCTTCAGGATCCAGCTCAGAGCCAGACACGGCCGAGGTGCTCAGCACAGGCCCGGTGAATGAATGAGTGAAGACGTGAGGGAGTGGGTGACCAAATTAAGACAGGGTGGGAGCGGGCACCCCCAGGTCTGTCGTGCTCACGACGTCCTGAGGGATTAGCATGGCACCGGCCACAGATGGATGCTCAGCTAAAGTGTCGAGAGAATAAATGAGCAAGGTCAAGGGAGGGAGGTGGGAAGAAAAGAGGGGAGGAGGAGGAGGAAGGGGAAGAAAGAGGAAGGATGGAGGAAAAGAGAGAAGTGAAGGAGGTGGAGGAATGGGAGGGAAGGTTCTTTACGTCTTTGCACCGGGAATGACAGTAACTTGCGACCTCTGGTGGCAAAAGAGAGCCACTCCTCTGGGCTCACGAAAGGGGAATTCGACGCTTTGGAGTTGCTGTGCCCTGGATTCAGGACCTGAGCAGGGGATTCCCAGTTCCCGAAAAGAGGTTTGGGACAGGCCTCTGTAAGAACGTGGTCGCAGTGAGTAACAGCCGGGTGAGGATTGGGACCAGGCGAATGAGGGTATTACTAGGGCACAAACTTAAGGGGGCACCTGAACACTCAGGAATCAAGACGAGTGTTTTAATGTAATATTTTTAAAAGATCAAATTGGCAAGCCATAGCCCACAAGCCAGCTGCGCATTTTTGTAATTATGTTATAGGAACAGGATCAGGATGAGGGTTGTTTTCTCAGTTACAGCAGAGACTGCACCTCACACGCTTCATTCGTGTGGGTGGTTCCCAGAGCCCCAGCACGCGATGCCCGCGTGAGTGGCACATCTAATTTAACAGGCACAGGCCTGCACGGGCACGCAGTATGCCAGGCTTCGCTAAGTCCATTCTGGGGTCACCGGACTGCCCACGAGGCTCTTTTAAATACTCCAGGAGACGTGGGCCGTGTCCGTTCCAGTGTTGGGCACATCTCAGCCTCATATCACGTCCCTGCCTGTGCCGCCCACTAGTCGGGTGACCTTGGGGAAGGTTTGATTTCTCTCTGCCTCAGTTGCCTCCTCTGTGAAATGGGTTAACGCATGCAAAGAACTTCAAACTTCTCAACAAACTGTTGCTGTTTAAAAGGTTGGTTTGAATCCCATTTCTGCCACTTATTGTAAATATTAGGACATGATATTTTGCATTGCTAAGAGTGTTTCCTCATCTATAAAGTGGGAGTCATTAACTCCCGTCTGGGGGGCCCCAGGTGGGAAGTCACACAGAGCTGTGAGTGCCACTGGCTCATCTCTGCGAAGCACCAAGGACCCTGGAATTGCAGGACTTCTCAGTGCTTTGTGAGACACTGAGCTAGGGAATCAATCTGCTGCCCACTTAGGGATGTTCATAACCCCTTACCTGCCACCACGGTCATAGGCTGAGTATACTTCCGACAACACTCCTGCGCACCTTTTGAAATTTCTCCGGTCTGCAGCACCCCCTCCCTCTCAGTGCCTGCGGAGATCAGTTCCACTTCCCCACTGCCGCTGGCTCCGTGTCACTCCGGTGGGTGTGGAGCGGTCCACAGCATGCTCGCCCCCACCTCCACCCCTAGGCTGCCATCCCCACTGGCCTGGCCAGTAGCGTAACCTCCTTATTTCTCGCTTCCACTCTCGCCTCCTTTAGTCTCTTCAAAACGTATCTCCCTGTTTAAAACCCTCTGTGACCCGTTAAGAATAAAACCCATCCTTGTTACAAGGCCCTTACACACCTCTGATCTCATTTCCTGTTTCTCCTTCCACTCTGATTTCATTTCCTGTTTCTCCTTCCAACTCGCTGCACACCAGCCACACTGGCCCCTCAATGATATTCCTCTTCACCAGTGTCTTCGCATTTGTACACAATGGCCCTTCTGTCTGGGACATACTCCCCATCTCCCGGTTTTCCTGCATATCCTGGTCAGAGGCTCTCTCTGACCACCCTTCCCCCGCCACGCCCCAAGCTCACTCAGGACCTCGGCACCCTTTACAGCACACGTCGTGGGTGCTTCGCTTACGCTTCCCAGGAGAGCGAGGACTGCCTTTGCGCTCCCTCGGTCTCTGCAGGACCTGGCACAAAGTGAGCGCTGCGTACTTGTTGCCTAAACACCTGCACATGTGGGTCAACCAGTCACTCCCCAACGAGGTACGTTAGCCTTAATCACCCTTGTAGTGCATATGAGGACCCCGGGGAATGAGCCGTCTTGTTGAGAACATGCACTGAAAAAAAGCTGCCAGCTCCTGTAGCCCTTGGAGACCCCTGAGAATGTTACATACTGCCAAAGTGTATCACAAGATAACGATCCGTCATACCCAGCATATCTTTTCTTAAAGGATCAGTGGGGAGAATATGGACCTTGGAGGCAGGTAAAAGTGCCCCTTGCTACCTGTGACATCTTGGACAAGGTCCCCGAAGTTTGCGCCCGTTTTCTCCATCTATAAAGTGGGGACGATGCCTTGTACAGAGTGGCTTTAGATCCAACATGAAAACTCCTGGCGCTGTGCCTAACACATAGTAACCAGGTGATGGTAGTAGTTCTTTCCGCCTGTCCCCACTGCCCAGGAAGGGACATTTTCTTTCACACCTGCTATCTGCCACATGCAGGGTGCTGGCTGTGGCAAAGGAAACAGACACATGTCGGTCTCGGTCCACCCGAATGTTCCCTCCATGAGAGCAGATGCCATGTCCACCTTGCTCACCACTGTACCCAGTGCCCGCTTTGTGCCAGGCACGCAACAGCACTCAGAACACTCGCTTGCCGGAGCTTACCGGGAGGAAAGGGATTTTACTAAACCTTCCAAGCACACCTCCCACGGGGTCAGAAACTGAGGTCGGGTAAGGCTAAGTGTGAGCTAATTAGCGGCTCTTCGCATCTTAACTCAGTTTTCCTCTACCTTCCCTTAAACCAGGCTTTATCAAGCTTTGGTCATTCCCAAACTTTGGTACTTCACCATTTTTGCTCTATGTATTTACTGTCCGTGTTACAAATTGATTCATATTTTTTACCTATGTAAACTAAAAGAAACTGTATTCAATCACTTGTCTTAATTAGAAGATAGCGACAAAGTTAGATCTACAAATATAAAAGCAATGTTGTATAAAAACTTTTTGAGAAATTATAGTCAAGCATTTTTCATCCTTTTTTCCCACCATGATTCCCAAAAGTATATTTTACATCAAAAGCCAGCATATACTCGTCTATATATACATATGTATAAAATCTCATAAAACAGTATTTACAGTATTATGTGTAAGGTACATGTAGTATTTCCTAGTCTCTGATTCCACTTCATTTTAAAAATGCTGGTTGCATCCCACTATATTGGTTTTGAGAAGAATGTCATGAACACAAGAGAAAAACCAACACTGAGTTAAAGGGCTTCCAAAGACATACCGTCACCGAGACTTTGTACTTGTCTCTCCAGGAATCAAGAGAATAATCTCACCGTGTGGTTCAATGTTTTTTAATGCTGTGTCCATGTACCTGAGGCCTAAGCCTGTCCCTGTTTTATTTCACACTCCGTTCTGCCTAGCACGTGGCTTATGAACACAGTGAGCTCTTGAGAACAGCTGATTGCAGGTAATCATGACACTTAACAAGCATGATCACAGACAGCACATATAAATATCGCAACACTCTTTTTTTAGGTCTAATCCACACTCGTAGCACTCCTTCCAAATGACTTGGAAGAAAATGGCTTAACTGTCCGCGGCTGCCACACGCAGCCTTCTACCCAACCATGGTCCTCTTTCGCCCTCTCAGGCGCACTTCATCGAGTTTTTTGAGCACTGGCTTGGCCTTTTTGGAAGAGGTGGAGTAGCTCTTCAGAAAGGCCTCAAACACACTCTCGGTGTTGGGGTGGGTACTGAGGAAGGCTTTCTCCAGCACGTAGAGGTCAACTCCCTTATCTTCTGGGAGTGCGGAAATGAAACTCAGCCCGAAGTCTATGAGCACAATGTTCAGCTGCTCCAGGGGCGGTTTTAGGAGCATGTTCGAGGTGGTGAGGTCACCATGAATGAGGTCCTCGTCGTGCATTCGGGCCAAAACCTGCCCGACTGTCTTGGCTAGGCTGAGGAGACTTTCGGGAGATTTTTTAGTCTCCAGAGTGGATTGAATATAATCTCGAACAGTCACTGAACCTTCAATTTCTTCCATGAATAGGCAGTTGGAAACATAATCCACAAAGAAGACAACAGGCGCAGCTATCCCTGCAATCAAGGCATAACCAGTTATTGAATTAGATTTTTTTTTTAAATGGTAAACTGAAATTTCAAAGATTGACCCAGTTTTTTTACAGAGTATATCTGCTAATTTCAGGACAGCGATTTAGAAATGCTGTAGAATGGTGTCACTTAACTCATCTGAAGGTGGCCCCTGCTCATGGTCAGCATGACTAGACCTCAAAAGCCACCCCACAGCTAAGTTTAGCTATGCCAAAGTTCCTTCCAACTTCCCACCCTTTATGATCTGACTTTGTTCCTACTTACTTAAAAAAAAAAAAATCCAGAAGAGTAAGTGCAATCCTAGTGAAGAACTACCTATCTAACAAGGACACAAACAGGAGGCCAAGCAGTGTACTGCCTTAGAGATTCATCTTCAAAGTCAGAAAGAATGAACTCAAATCCCATCTCCCTTCCTTATTAGTCGTGAGGAAGGAGAGAAGAAACAAGATGAAATCAGTATAGCTAAGCTCACTTAAAATGGAGACCGTATAGTCAAGCTGACCAAATTTGTTCAGACCAAATGGGCTGAAGCATGAGATTTTACTTCACTTGAACTAGCCTGAGGACTTAAACTTTTAAATTTTTCAGTTGTGCATCAATACCTGAAGAGAGATATAAATACTATAGATAACCCCTTGGAGAACTTAGGAAAGAATATTCATGGATCCAGACTGCCTGATATTGATAATGCAGACCGCCAATCACCTGGAGGATTACCATCTCAAACCAATGCAGAGGCTAAGAACATAGGACTGATTCTTCTCAAGAATGTACTTTTTACTAGAACTCTCAACTTCTCTCTTTTCTTCGCAACACTCTCAGTGTTACTGGCTAGTGTTTCTGATTTGCAAATTTTAAGACCCTTGAATAAAACTTCATTTACAGTCTGTCGACACTTGTATAAGCTTAGAGTCACATCAACTTCTCTACACCTTTGTTTCTGCTTCTATAACATGAGATGACTTCCAAAGATTTAACAAATCTTTATCGAATGTCAATCATGCTCAGAACACTTTTCCAGATACTGGGAATATATGGGGGAGGGGACGCAGATACAACAGGACATATCACAGTCCCTGCTTAATGAAACTTCCATCCCAGAGAGGGTGCAAAAAGAAAGTATGAACACAAAAATAACTTCGTTAAATACAAGCAGGGATATGCCTGCCAGTGCACTACTGAATTTCCTCCCGATCTCCCAGAACCTAACACTGTCCTGGTACTATTACCTTTCTTACAATGTTTAAAAAATACCAATGTAAGAAAGAAAGGTAGGAAGTGCAAAAGTGAAAAGCCAGTTTTTCTGAGTCAGAGGGATGTGAGCTGAGGACCTCGCTGGGTCACTAACTAGCTGTGTAACCTTGGGCAAGTTACTTCCCCTCTGTGAGACTCAGTTTCTCATTCGAGAACAGGTTTACGGTGACGGTGCACGGGGTGTTCTAACGGAAAAATAAATAAGCGGTTTCACGACATCTAACTTTATTAAGCGCTGTGTGCCGGTGACACAGTCAAATGTAACACGTGACATACACACCTCATCTAATGGTCCCAATATCCCTACGAGATTATTAGTGCAATCGTGAGGGCCCTCTTTAGGTGAGGAAACAGGCTGAGAGGTTAAATAACGTGTTGAAAAGCTACAGTAGCGCGGACAGTTGAACCCAGAGAGCCTGGCTCCAGGGCAAGTACTTGTACTTACATCTGGTTCATAAAAGATAAGACAATGATCAAACACTGAAACCGAGACTGAGGGTGGTTAAATAACGTGCTCAACGTCGACCAAGAGTGGCAGAGTCGGGAACTGAACCAGGCTCAATGGCTCCGGGACAAGTGTTCGTCCCGGTAAAGCCAAAAGGCTCCTTAAGAATTAATGAATGAAGAGAGGTAGGAAAGGATGACATTTCTTAAATACTCAAGGCCACGCAGAAGGCAAAGGGCGCGAGGGAGTCCAGCCCCCGCGTCGCCCGGACTCCGGAGCCTCTGACCTCCCCTAGCCCCCGAGCCGGGCCTTCTCACCTGCGCGGCGGCAGCGGAGCAGCGCCCGGGCCTCCTGCACGGTCCGCCGCCGGCTGAGCCGCGCCTCCAGCGTCGGGTGCCGGTAGCCCTTGGGGAAGCGGTGCTTCACCACGGCCGCGCGGCCCTGGAAGCGGCCGCGGAACACGCGCGCCTCGGCGCCCTGCTTCATCAGCTCCAGTCCGCTCAAAAAGCGGTTGCTTCGCTCCCGGGCCGCGGCCAATGCAACGGCCTCCGCACCGAGCTCCTCGCTAGTCTCGGCCGCAGCAGTACCGGCCGCCGCCATTACTGCGCCTTGAGCCCCTCGACTCCGTCCGAGGGCTGCCGGAGACGCTTCGGCTCGCTCCGGAAACCTCGGCTCTCTTCGGCCAATCGAAGGCCGACACTTCCGCCCTGTAGAAGAGGTTCCGCCTCCCAACCTTTCGGCTCTTTCCGAAGCACCTCGAGAAGACGGCTGTGGCCCCGCCTGCCAGCTCTTCGGCTCTTTCCGGATAACTGCGGCGCCCCTCACGAAAAACTTTTTCCAGAATCTCAGTTCTTTCCTGAAGCTGGGCGTTGCTCTTGAGGAGGCAACCCCAAGTGCCGAGCACCGTGTAATGCAGCAAACTAAAACATTTCTTTTAGTTTCAATTACATTATCTGCAGTACGAAGATAATCAGTTTTACTTTGGTGATTCCTTATTAAAATTAAGATGTTGCTAGTGAGGGCGCCTGGTGGATAACATACACTCTTCATATATTCATTTTCCTTCGCCTGTCTATCTATCTATCTATCTATCTATCTATCTATCTATCTATCTATCTATCTATCTATCTATCATTTGGTACTCTGTTTGAAATACTGTAGAAAGGCCCTTTGGTCCTAGGGTTGCTGTGACTCCAGCTCTCAGCTCTGCAATTTCATTCATCACAGGGCGGGTCACCTTTTCAAACATCAGACGCTTTGTGGTGGCATGTAATGGTTTTCAGCAGCTTTCATCAGTCCAGACTACTCAAAGTTCACCCAGAACCAACTCGATCTGTAATGCCCAGGTTCTGAAGTGTGTGGTTGCATTATCATAATTGTTAAGTGTCCACCTAACCTTCTATTTCCATAGTTACCAAATCTGCCTGAATCCCGCCTTTGGAAAACCCACTGTGCAAACATATTTACAAGTACCAGGCTTGCTATGGTCAGACTAGTTCTGGCTCCTATGGCAGGAAACCTAGTTTAGAACCTTTAAATGGCTCCCCACTGCGCTTAAAATAAAGACCTACAAGGTCCTGCATGGAACCACTGTGTCCTGTCTTCCAAACTCATCTTCCACCAAACTGCCCTTTGCCTTTGAATCTTCAAACACAATTGCCGTCTCTCAATAAGTGCCTGATTACCCCATGGCTGAGCTTGACTCCTGGCTCATCTATATACTAACGTATTTCCTTGAGCTCTGTTTATCTTATTTACTAGTCAATTATGCAAGCAAGTTACTTCACCTCCCTTAGTTTCCTCATTCATAAAATGGGTATGAATTGTAATAGTCTCTATCTCATTAGGTAGTTAGAGGGCTAACAATATGCTAATATATGTAAAGTACTTAAAGTATATAATTATTGCTCCATAGTTTGCTATTGTTCCGGTTACTGTTGCTGCATAACAATTTACTCCAAAACTTTGCACCTTAAAACTACCATTTAGTTATACTCATGGGATGTGTGGGTCATAAATCCAGACTGCAAACAGTAGGGATGGCTTGTCTCTGCTCTACAAGGTCCAGGGCCTCAGCAGGAAATATTGGGCAGGGAGCTGGAATTATCCAAAGGCTCATTCCAGAGCCAGCGCTGGAATGACTCAGAGGCTAGGACCACCCACCAGAGCATCCCCACGTGGTGTCTTTCTGCGCCTTGGGCCTCCTCACAGCATGGTGGCCTCAGGGTAGTTGGACTTCCAAGAGGCATGGGGCCCCAGGCACCAGTGTTCTAGTGACCCAGCCTCAGAAGTCACACAGTGCTACTCTGTGCAACCTACTGGTTGAAGCAATCACAAGCCCACTTAGACTTCAAGGGAGGAAATAAAGAATTTTGGAGCCATGTTTTCAAACAGCCCTGTTGATTATTATTTTTGAATTATCCAAGGGTCCCCTGGCTCAGAAGGTCTTGCCAATGCTGCCTTCTTTGCTGAGATGCCTGGTTGTGTCTGCGGCACACAGTTCCTGCTGGGGGGAGGGTATGTGACACATGTCAACCAATGTGTCTATGTATGAGCATGCAATGACATATGCCTGTGGCTGTGTGCATGCTGGGCTTGTATATACGTTTTTGCTTGAGTGTAAGAATTAGTGGGGGTGTCCCCAGCCTGGCTTCTTTCTGGAACTCCAAACTCTTATACTGAACGCCCTTCTTATTTACACGTGGATGCTAAATGAGCACCTTAAATATCACACGCCAAAACAGAAATCTACACATACTTTCCTTCCCCAAGCTTCATCTTCTCCAAGTGGTAAGTCCTTATCAAGTCTATCTCTGATCTGCCTCCTTTCCTCCATTGTCACTGCCACCTTAGTCCAAATGGAATTCCATCTCTCACCTGCAAATGATCGCCATTCCCACCTTTGCACCATGTAACCTGCTAGAACTCCCCAATTATTTCTTGTGTCACTTGGAAGAAAACCCACATTACTGATCCGGGTCTCCCAGGGCCTTGAATGGTCTGGCCCTGGCCAACCCGAGTCTTGAGCCCCATGTCCCGCACTCTCCCTGTCACCTGCTGTGCCCTAGACACTCTGGCTTCATTTCTGTTGCTTTTTATACCCCACAAGCTCCTTCCACTGCGCAGGGCTGTTGCCTTTGTTCTTCCTCCTTCTCAGAACCTGAGGTCTCTGCTCAGATGTCCCCTCCTCAAAGCAGCCTTCCCAGACTCCCAAGCTAAAGCAGCCACCTGTGCGCCCGCCTACCCTGTCGCCCTAGATTAGTTCTCTGCCTAGCCTTTATCTTAGCTGATATTTCTCTGGCTTGTTATTTAACTTTCTTCTTTCCCCACTAGAAAGCAAACTGCACAAGAACAAACAAACCTGTTTGTTTTGTTCTCCCAGCCCATCCCCAAGGCCTAGGAGCACAAGATCTGTGGTCGTTTGGGACGTGTCCAAACCTGTGTCCAATGAATCAAGGGTGAATCCCCGGAGGAGTGTCTGAGAGGCCGAAGTGGGTATGTGTGTGTCCCCATTACCCTAGGAACACGTGTGTGTGTGTGTGTGTGTGTGTGTGTGTGTGTGTGTGTGTGTGGTGGACTGCAGTAATTGCGAAGTCTCCTTCCTGCTTTGGGGGAGGGGCTGGGGGGCGGTGTTGGAAGGGTTGATGCATGGGTGGGCCCCCAACAGGGATGACAGTGGGCAGCGAGGACGGTAGGAGGCATCCCTCTCCTGGAGGACAGCAAGCGGGAGCCTCCAACCAGGTCCCGGCGCCCCTCTCTCGCCTGTGTCTCCAGGCACAGGGGGCCAGGGCCGGCCTACGTGGCAGCGGCGCTGGGGGCGGGCAGGCAGAAAGGGAGGGACGGAGGCGGGCCGGTCAGAAAGTTTGTGGGCGGCCACGGTGGGGATTGCGGCCCGGGGATGCGCTCCTGGCCCCTCAGCGCCCGCAGCACGCCCGGGTGTCCCGCTCGCCATGGGTAAGTCGCGACCAGGCGCTTCCCGCCAGGGAGTGCCCGAGACCCCATCAGTACGCGCGCCCTCCGCCCCTGGCTGCACCCCACCCCCTGACCAGATACCGCCCACTCCGGCGGGCAGGGAGCCCCGCACTCCAGGCCTTGCCTCGGGCCTGGGAAGGGACTTGGGCGCCCTTCCTTCCAAGCTCCTTTCTGCCCAGATAAAAGTGACTTGAAAGAGCTCCTTAATATGGAGCGCTCACTTGGGACAGGCCCTCTCTTAACCGCTTCAAGCCTTACAACAAGCCCAGGCAAGTGAAATTGTTCTATTCTGCAGATGAAGAAATAGAGGACCCACAAGGAGCAAAATCCGTTAATCAATTCACCCAACACCTCTGTTCATGCCTGAGGATGCTGCGGTGAACAAAACAGACAAAACCTCTGCCCTGGAAATAATTCAACAAAAGGGAGACAGAGGAGTTTAGAATGCAGCACTGTGTGTGCTTGTCCGGAATTTCTTCATTGCTCCAGGGGAGCAAAGCATTTTTTTTTTTTTTCCTGTGGATTCAGAGCCTCAAAGAGTTACTCTGTCATTCATTTCGCTACTGTGTGGCAGACACTGGGGACTGGGTGGGACACCGAGGTGGTGTGACTGTGGCGAGGGCGGCAGGTTCTTTAGGTAAGCGGGAAGGGAGGGCCTCCCGGACCAGGGGGCGCTGGAGCTGAGAGGCTGAGGCCGGTAGTAAGGGTAGTAAGGCGCTAGGAAGGTTCCTGGGGCGAGAGGAATGGGGAAACTGAGAAAGGAAAATTAAACAGGGCCAAACAGTTTGAGCAATTTACAGCCATCTGGTGAATCGCAAGACCTTATCTCCCCTAACCAAATGGTTTATACCTCTGCTCCCTAAGCAGAGAACACAGAACCTCCCCGGCCATAAACGACAGGTGTCTGGGAGACAGGAATGCTATGACAGCAGAGAGCTACATGGAACAAAGGGAGCCCGCTGGGGAAGAAGCTGCGCCTTCCCTTTTTTTTACTTTTTTGACTGTCCTTCCAGCTCCCCTCCCCGTACTCCCAAAAGAAACTCAGCACATCTGCACTCCCCCTTGGAATTTCCTCCTTCCAAATTCCCCCATTTCCTCCTATAAAGTTGCCTCTGAAAGCTCAAGGAGAGGTGGAAGTTCAGGTTTTTACCCGCTACCTTCTCAGACTGCTGGCCTCTGAAATTAATAAAAGTGAAATTATGATCCAATCTCTCTCTCTGCTTTTGGGCTGAGCGGTGACTGACAGCACGAGCCTCAGACTCAAAAGAAGTGGGCTTGCTATGATCTGAGAGGGGGGCTTCCAGATTGAAGGAACAGCAAGTGCAAGGGCCCTGAGGCAAGAGTGAGTGGATGTGGTCCAGGCCAGGGTGGCTGGAGCACAGCGGGCAAGGGGGGAGTCAGAGGGGTGGGCAAGGGCTAGATTACACAAGACTTTGTAGGCTGTAGCGAGAAGCTTGGCTTTTATTTAGAGAGGGTTTTAAGCTTGGGTGGGACATGACCTAAATTGTGTTTTAAAAACTCTGGGTTGTTCTGTGGAGCATCACACTAGCCAACACTGGCTATAAGGCAGGTATTACTACTTTCCTCGTATACAGATGGAGAGGCTCAGAGAGGGTAAGTGAACTGCACAAGGTCACAGTTGTGAAGAAGAGGCACTGGGATAGAACCCCCAGCAGTATGGCCCCTGCCTGCATTCTTGACCTCTGCACCACCCAGCCTCGTGTGCACAGGGTAATGGCACAGCTGTCGGCCAAGACCAGCTCTGGCTCCAGAGTCCTAGTCTGGGGGCCAGGATTTGCTCTATTCCTACCCACAGCCCCTCCCAGGCCCTGGACCCCACCAGATGCTCAAGAGTCAAGATCCTTCCTCTCTGGACTTCTACATCCCCAGAGTTCATTCATTCATTCATTCAGTCAGTGAGTCAACAAGTATTTATTAAGTGCCTACCATATGCAATGTACTGTCCTCAGCGTCAGGGACACAACTGAATAAACGAACAATTCCTGTTCCTTTGGGGCTGACATTCTGGTAGGGGAGACCAACAAATACGTAAAATATATAGTTATTTCAGCTGGTGATGAGGACCACAGAGGAAAACAAATAGGGGAGGGGAACACAAAGTGCTGGATGCTTCGGGGAGGTGCAATTTTAAGTAGAGGTTCAGGGGAGTGCTCATGAGGAGGTGATGTTTGATCAAAGAGAGGAGGGAAGGAGCCCCGGGCATGGAGAGGGAGGCTTCCCCATCAGAGATGGCGGCTGGGAAGCCTTGAGTTGAGATGAGCTTGGAGTGAGGAGGAACAGCAAAGGGACCGGCGTGGCCAGAGGAGCGGCGTGAGAGGAGGCAGACGCTGCGGGGCCTTGAAGATCACTGTAAGGACCGTGGCTATTTCTAGAGAGAAGAGGGAGCCTTGGCGAGCTCTGAGCAGAATGACTACATCTGACTTAGGCTGTCACAGGATCCCTCTGGTTTCTACGTAGCATTAGATTAGGTTCAAATGTACCCTGACACAGCCCCTGGAATGCCACGTGGTGATGCTACCCTGGTCCCCCACTCATTCATTGATTCTTTCAGCAAAAACCTCATTGAGCTCCTCTGGGGTATCAGGGTGAAGCTGGAGCCCTGGAGACACAGAGACAGTGTCTCTGTCCTGCCTAATTTAATAAGGAGGACACATTGATGAGCTTGTAATATGGTGTGAGCCAAGGAAAAGAGAATGTAGAGGTGTTCAGCAGTGACAAATGTGGCTTGGAAAGTTGAGGAAGACTTGTGGGAATGATGTCTGATGGCCCTGGCTCCTTTGAGGCTGTCTCTCACGGCTCCTGAGGCAGCATCATTTCACTGTTTGGTGACATAAAGTTTCCCTGAGAGCTTCACTCCCCCTCTACCTCTGCCCGCTGTGTCCTTCTCTCTCTCTCACACCCCGCATATCTCTGATTGGCTCTTCTTGCTTGAAGTCAGTTGAGCAAAGCTCTTAGATGTGTGGGTCTGGAAGTCATATGGGTCATTGTTTGAGTCCTGATCCTGTTGTTTTTTAGCTGTGAGAACACTCTGACCCTCAGTTTCCTTATCTGTAAAATGGGCATAGCTGTAGCTGTACCACCTAGCATTGTTACAAGGATGAATCGAGAGGAGGCACCCAAAGTTGCAAGAGGAGATGCTCAATAAATGGCTATTTATTATGACTGTTTCATTGCATGTTTATTTTTGCTGTTCTCTTACCACTGTGGCTAGAATCTGTTCTGATGCGTTTTCCAGGAAAACCTGTAGACAGTCAACTTTGCCTCTGAACCCTTTGGCTTGGTTCCCTTTCACCACAAGAGGAACCCAGGGTATGGCAAACAGATTCTGTGCTTTCACTTGATTGCCTCACATGGCCTGGAAGAACCTTCCTTTGTGGCTGTAAAGTCCAAGAACCGTGGGAGGTGGGGCAAAGGGAGGTGATGCGAGGCAGGACCTGGGCGGCATAATCTCAGGGCATTTATTGACGGCCACGAACAGGTGGGACAAGGCCCGCCAGTGAACAGTAGGAGGTTATTTCCCTCAGGGGCAGGGGTGATGGGAAGGGCGAGCAGATAGTGGGGCATTTTTCCACCCATGAAACTCCCCCGCCTTGCACAAACATTGCCTAACAGAGATGAGGAGAGTCAGAAATAAGAGAGAACACATTGAAATCACATTATGCCAAGGTTTTCTAATGGAGTGGTGAAAAGAAGGGACCGTGGAGCCAGATGTCCTAGCTTTGAATCTAGGCACAGCTACTTACTACTTTTGACCTTGGGCAAGTCACTTCACCTCTCTGAAGGTTTATTCTTTCACAAATAATACAAAACCCCAGCTTAAAGAGTTGAGGTAAGAAGCCAATGAGTGATTGTAAATAAAGCACTCACTCATTTGGTCCAGAGAAAACACTCAAAACATCTGCTTACAATGTAATGAATGTTGTCAGGCCTGGGTGGTTTGGCTGGGGCCAGCTCAGGAAGGGCCTGAGGTGAGATAGATAGTGTTAGGTTACTTTAGATACTTTCAGAGATATTTAAGTTTAAATATGTGAATTAAAAGTCCAAAGTAGCCCTGACCGGTGTGGCTCAGTTGGTTGGGCATTGTCCTGCAAGGCAAAGCGCTGCCCGTTTGATTCCAGGTCAAGGCACATGCCTGGGTTGTGGCCCGTCCGAGGTTGGGGCCTGTACAGGAGGCAACTGACTGATGTTTTTCTCTCTCTCTTTCTCCCTCCCTTCCCCTCGCTCTAAAAAATAAATAAAAAATCTTTTTAAAAAATCAAAGTAAACCGTATAGCTGAACTGTCGCTATGGTAGCCTCCAGTGACATGTGGCTATTTTTACATTTAAATTAATTAGAGTTAAATAAAATGAAAATTCAGTCCCTTAATCACATGAGCCACATTTTAAGAGCTCGATACCCATGTGTGCTGGTGGCTACCCTAGGTCATCTCTCTCCCCAGCTCAAGTCTTCAAAGGCTTCCTTCCACCCACTGGCAGTGAAATTCATCACTGTCTTCATGATCTACAATTCTCCTCATGATCTGGCCCCCGCCTACTTCTCCTACCTCATCTTCTCCTCTCACTGGGCTCCAGCCACTCTGGCCTTGAACAGCACAGTGATTAAAAGCCTGCACTGACTAGCTACATCTGCTCTGCCACTTACTTGCTGTGTGACCATGAGAAACTTTCTTAACTTCTCTGCACCTTGGAGGATGACGCTAATAGTAATATGTAATAAGATTGTTGTAAGTGAGGAATTAAGTGAGTAAATAAATATAAAGCTCCTCAAACAGGGTCTGGTACTTAATAAGTGGCATATAAGCACTAGCTATTAATATTAATAGTTACTGTTCAAATATACCAAAACCTGTCCTGCTTCAGGGCCTTGGTTCTTGCTGTTCCCTCTGTCTAGAATGTTTTTCTTCAGATTTTATATGACTTTACCCTTACTTCATTTGGATACCTGCTCAAATTTTCCTCTTCGGAGGTCTTAGCTGACCACCCTATTTAAAATAGAACTCCTCCATCACTCTCAATCCCGTTTCCCTGTTCTGTAAGTTATAGCATATATTTATTTGTTCATCATCTGCCTTTTTCTACTAGAATGGCTGGTCCTTGAAAACATCACTGTATTGCCAGCTCCAAGATTACAGCTTGGTGTATTGTAGATGCCAGATAAATAAGTTTTTAAATGAATGGTTGAATGGGTGGGTGGATGGAAGGATGGATGGATAGGTATATGCGTAGATGGGTACATAAGGGATGGAATACAAAGATGGAGGGATGAATGGATGTACTTGTGGATAGATGGATCAATACATGAGTGGATGTTTGGGTGAATTAAGGGGTATATGAATGGACAAATGAGTGGATGAATATGCAGTGGATGGAGTAGATGGATAAACGGAGGAGTATATGATGAAAGGAAAGGTAGATTGATCAATAAATAGTTGTGTGAATGGATGAAGGAAGGAGTGAATGGAGGGGTGAAGGATGGATGGGTTCATAGGTGGACCAATAAATGGATTAACAGGTGAAAGGGTAGAGTAGATTGGTAAAGAGGTGGGTGAATAAAGGAAGGAGTGGATGCATGCATGAGTAGATGGATAACTGGGTGAATGGATCAAGTAGATGGATGGATGGAGGAATGGATGAAGGAAGAAGTGGATGGATGGTGCATTATGAGTAGATGGCTTGATGGAGTAAGGGTGAATAAATGAATAGGTGGATGGATGGAGTAGCTGGATGAATAGATAGAGCAATTGATAGATGGAGGGGAGGCTGGATGGATGGAGGCTCTGGCAAGGAACCATTCTGACCTCAGCCCCTGTTACTTTTATTTTCCAGGCCACCCACCACCCCTCCTGCCCCTGTGTGCTTCTGTGTCTTTGCTCGGTGGCTTGACCTTTGGTTATGAACTGGCAGTCATATCGGGAGCGCTGCTGCCACTGCAACTTGACTTTGGGCTAAGCTGCTTAGAGCAGGAGTTCCTGGTGGGCAGCCTGCTCCTGGGGGCTCTCCTCGCCTCCCTGGTGGGGGGCTTCCTCATCGATCGCTATGGCAGGAAACATGCCATCCTCGGGAGCAACCTGGTGCTGTTGGCAGGCAGCCTGAGCCTGGGCCTGGCTGGCTCCCTGGCCTGGCTGGTCCTGGGCCGCTCAGCAGCTGGCTTTGCCATCTCCCTCTCCTCCATGGCCTGCTGTATCTATGTGTCGGAGCTGGTGGGGCCACGGCAGCGGGGACTGCTGGTGTCCCTCTACGAGGCCGGCATTACTGTAGGCATCCTGCTCTCCTACGCACTCAACTATGCGCTGGCCAGCGTCCCCCAGGGATGGAGGCACATGTTCGGCTGGGCAGCTGCACCTGCTTTCCTGCAGTCCCTCAGCCTCCTCATTCTCCCTGCTGGTACTGATGAGGCTGTAGTGCACAGGGACCTCATCCCCCTCCAGGGAGGTGAGGCCACCAGGCTCGGCCTGGGCAGGCCAAGATACTCCTTTCTGGACCTCTTCAGGGAACGGGATAACATGCGCGGCCGGACCACCGTGGGGCTGGGGCTGGTGCTTTTCCAGCAGCTAACAGGTCAGCCCAATGTGCTGTGCTATGCCTCCACCGTCTTTCACTCGGTCGGCTTCCGTGGCGGATCCTCCGCTGTGCTGGCCTCAGTGGGGCTTGGCGCTGTAAAGGTGGCAGCCACCCTGACTGCCATGGGGCTAGTGGACCGAGTGGGCCGCAGGGCCCTGTTACTAACTGGCTGTGCTCTTATGGCCCTGTCGGTCAGTGGCATAGGCCTCGTCAGCTTTGCCGTGCCCATGGACTCAGGCCCAAGTTGCCTGGCCGTGCCCAATGCCACCAGGCTATCAAACGTCCCTGGAGACTCTGACCTGCCCATGGGCTTGTCTTCACATCCACTGCCAATAGCCAGCAAGAACCGAGAGGAGCCAGTCTCCTCAATCTCTGAGAAAACCAGGCGTCACCCCAGAGCTGGGGACCCCACAAGCCCTCCCGGGCCAGCCCTAAGCGCCGCCTCCCAGGCCCCGCCTTCTGCTGCCCCAGAGCGTGCCCTGCTGCACTGGATCGCGCTGGTCTGCATGATGGTCTTCGTAAGCGCCTTCTCCTTTGGATTTGGACCAGGTAGGTGGGACTTGCAGGTAACTCTGAGCTTTCTCCCATTCCTAGAGCAGAGCGTGGGAACAGTATTCTGCAGGGTCTCAGAAGGACACCAGAGGGGCCTTGACCGTGAAGCCAGTGAAGCTTTCACTTCAGGGCCCCTCGCTTATTTGCAGACACCCCTTTTGAAGGCAGGGGCCTGATTTTATGTTTGTATATTCTTAACTTTAAAAAAAAAAGCTCCCAAGTCATTTAGGCTTCAGGCTTCATAAAACCTGCATTTGCTCCTGGATAGCTGCCTCAGTCAAAAAACTTTACTTGAAGGGGATTTAATGAATACAGTGACCAATCATCCTGGTTTGTCAAGATGCTTAAAATCCCGTGTCCCAGGCATCCCATCGGGACTGTTGGTCACTCTAAAGGGGTTCTCACTGCCGGGCGCGGAAACAGCGGCGGAGACGGTGGGGTCAGGTGCCCGGCACCCTTGGAATCACTCTGGTGGAGGGCTGCCTGCTGGGCCGTGGGTGCCGGGCCCTGGCCCTGGCCCCAGCCCCAGCCTAGGAGCCCTGCCTGCACTCCTGTCCTAGTGACCTGGCTTGTCCTCAGCGAGATCTACCCCGCGGAGATCCGAGGAAGGGCCTTCGCCTTCTGCAACAGCTTCAACTGGGCCGCCAACCTCTTCATCAGCCTCTCCTTCCTCGACCTCATCGGTGAGTCCTCTTGACCTAATTCCTTGGTCCAGTGCCTTCTACAAGCAGGCACAATGTCCTCCCGGCAGGGCCAGGGCTTCCTTAGCGGTCCGGGTATAAATGACGGAAAACCTGATGCAAACCTGTTTATGAACAAAAGGGAGTATTTTTGTGAGGAGGGCCGTTGTCTTCAAGCGTGGCTGATCCAGAGGCCCCAGGACAGTTGTGGCCAGCTTTCATCGCTCTTGTACTTTGCCACCCACACCGTGGGCTTCATTTTCAGGCAGACGCCTCCGGTGGCAAAGATGACCGCCAGTAGGTCTCCTCCGACTGGCACCCCAAGGGAAAGAGGGCATGTGTTTCCCAGTGGCTCGTCCCCGAGACCTGGGGCTGCTTCTCATTGGCTGAGGAAGATCACATGCCCATCCTTGAACCAATCACTGTGGCTGGAGGGCTGCCTCCACCCCCAGGCTCGAGGCCTGGGTCGTACCCTCGCCCTGGAGCCGGGGGATGGAGACTTCCTCCCCGAGCAGTCGACCGGAAGTTGGGGCAGAGTTGTTCCCCAAAGGAGAACTGGTGTCAAAGGGAGGGGATTCGTTTCGGATCTGGGCTTTGCCATGGCTGCCTCTTGCAGCTGTTTCGCCGCTGAGGGGAATGTTATTTTCCCTCCATTCACGTTTTCACATCCCACCGCTTCGAGTTTTAGGTGTGGGTGAGTGGGCTTCCCCAGAAAAGACAAGATGCCCTTGTCAGCACTTGTGGTCCGAGCTGTGACCCTTTGCCTGGCCCTGGGACAGTTAGTCCTACTCCTGCTTTAAGGGCCTGATCTGACAGTTGTTGGTCTTCACATCCACTGCCAATAGCCAGCAAATCGACCTTCTGGAGGAGCCTCTGTAGCCGAACCAAGTCTCCACGCGCGACTTGGAACCAGCCAGTTGGCTGCGCCGCCCACTCTCCCACCCCCCTCCCTGTTCCCAGGCGCCATCGGCTTGTCCTGGACCTTCCTGCTGTACGGGCTGACTGCTGTCCTCGGCCTGGGCTTCATCTACTTATTTGTCCCTGAAACAAAAGGCCAGTCGTTGGCAGAGATAGACCAGCAATTCCAGAGGAGAGGGTAAGGCGGGCAGGGCGGGCCTGGGGGCGGGAGGGGCAGGGAGTCCCATCCCACTCGAGCACTCGGCTGCAGGACTTCAGAGAGCGTTTTTCTTTTCTTCTTGCCTCTCGTACTGCCCGGACGCCGTGCATTTTGTCCTGTTTTCATACAGGGGCTGGTTTCCTGGAGCTGGTTTTGTGTCTTTCCTTTGACTTTAAGCCCAGGTTAAATCTTTAAATCGTGCAACTGTGAAATCCCAGGAGGTTGGAAGAGTAGACTCCTCAAAGCAGAGAATCCTAGAGTCGTGGAAGCTTGGAGAGAGCAAACATTATGCCTGGGGCCTTTTAAACTCTCACACAAAGAATTGTGGGCCTAATACACTCACTCGGTGGGTATTTATTAAGCCCCTACTATGTGCCAGACAGTGTCGTGGGCCATAGACTATATGGCTGAGAATAAGGTGGAGAAGGCCCTTGTCCCCATGAAGCTCTCATTCTAGTGGGGGAGAGGGACAGAAAATAAGCAAGCCAACATAAGCATTAACACCAGCATTTCCTTTAGCGATGTGTAATTGGAAGAAATGAAACTGAGCAAGACAGGTGGAGTGGGCCCAGTTGGTGGAGAGGGGCAGGGAGGAGCAGGGTATGGTGGCTAAATTAAAATGAAGGTGGTCAGAGAGGGACGGCCTCTCTGAGGAGGTGCAATGTAAGTTAGTAAGAAGGAGGCAGCTGTGTAACCATGGTGGGGAGGGGGGAGCATTCCAGGGAGAGGGGACAGCAAGTGCAAAGGCCCTGAGGTCGGGAGTGTGCCTGGCATATGCAAAGAACAATGGGGAAGCCATTGTGGCTGGACAGAGTGAGGGAGGAAGGAGGGATAGACTAGCAGATCAGCCGGGTGGGTAGGAGCTAGATCATATAAGGTCTTCAGGTCATAGAGTGGAGTAGAGAAGCTTACTACCATGGGACCTTGGGCTCTTCGAATTAGAAAAGAGAGGAATGGCATTGGAAGGGACCTAAAAACACTATAATCCTAAGCATTTTGGCAAATGCACCTTGTAGTAAAGGGGAGTCGCCAGTTCCTGCTTGCACATTCTGTTCCTGGGAGGCCCTAAAAGATTGGAAACATAAATCGGTCTAATATTGAATTAGAAATTGCCTCCCTGCAGTGACCTGCCAAGCCTCACCCCAACCCTGCCCCTGAGGGGACACAGAACTAGTCCAAAGCAAACACCTCTAACCTGATCCACCCCACCCCAGAGTGTCCTCTGCCAGCTGAACACTCCCAGGTAGTTGGGTGATACTTTCTGCAAACCCTTCAGTGGCCCAGCTCTCTTAGTTAGGGGACAGGTTTGGCTGGTTGGAATAGTCCAAATGTTGGGGTGCAGGGCAGCTGTGCCCCAGGAGGTCATCCAGGGTCCCAGGCTCTATCTCTCTTGTTGCTCTTGTTACCTTTTTCACATGGCCCATGACGGTGAACCACCCACCACATCCCTGCGAGGGAAAGGGGGAGAGGAGGACACAGCTGAGAGCCACATGGGTCACCTACAGCCCTTTGGCCAGGACTCGGCTACACCTCTGTGGAGGGGTAGCTGAGAAACAGCCTGTAATCTGGGTAGCCGTGTGCCCAGCTAAAAACCAGGGGCATTGCTACTAGACATAAAGGGGCTACAGATACTAGGAGCAACCTGGATCTCTGCCATACTGGTTTTCTTGGGAGAAGATTCCAGGTCCCTTCTCTGGGACAGAGAGCAAAGGAGGCAGAGGCAGGTAGAAGCCAGCTTTGGGCTAAGGCAGGATGTGATTGTAGCCAAGGGCAGCGTTGGGCCAGGGGGACGCCTGGGGGTGAGCACAGACACAGGGAGACCCAGAGGAGTCATTGGGTAATTCAGAAGATGGAAATGCCTATTAAGGCAGGAAGTAGGAAGGGACAGGTAGGAGTGGGGTGGGGATGGGATGGGGGAATCCCAAAGGATGTTCCATTCCCGCCTCCTGCAGGGAGCCCAGGCCCCTTGCTTGACAGGTTCTCCTCTCTGCCTGACAGGTTTGCCCCGAGCTTTGGCCACAGGCAGAGCACGTCTGGTGTCCAGTACAGCCGCATCAAGGTCTCTGCGGCCTCCTGAGGAGTCCTTCTGCTTGGAAAATGCTGGAACCATGGTTTTGGCCAACAGTCTCCAGTTTCCTGCTTGCCTGGGCCCCGGAGCACAAGTTCTCGGGGTCCTTTGAGACTGAGCCCTGCTCCAGAGGGGGCCTTTTGTATTAGGGTAAAACGGGCGGAAGTCTGAGAACCCAGACATCTTCATGTTCAGTCTCAGGCTCTGAGGGTTTCTGAGGAGCTGCCTTCTTACCTCAGTTTCCCCATTAACTCTGCACATCTCTGCAGTGCTTATAATGAGAACATCTTACGGAGCTTCCATTGTTCCCTGGGCATTCTCAAAGAATCTCTGGGGTACCAGTCCTGGCAGGAAGTCTCTCCTGGTATCATCCCTAAATCCAGCTGAGGATACCGTATTCTCTGCTCTCTTTTTTCATCTGGCTGAGACTTTTCAGCAAGGCATAAGCCTGTTTATTTGGCTCTGAGATGTCAGTTTTGTTCACCCCTCTAATTCTCTTAGCCAGAATACTTACCATTCACCAGCAACCCAGACTGGTTGACAGGAGGCTTGCGTTCTAGTCCTGATTTTGCTGGTGTCATTGCTCTATGACTATGGGCCTCAGTTTCCCCCATATGTACAGTAGGGCACCTGGGCCAGGTAGTTCCTCAGATCTCTTCTGACACCAGTGAGTTGGAATTCTAAATGCTGGTAATACAACAAAAACTCAACATGGGACTTGCTCTCAAGTTGCTCATCATCTCTCTGGGGGACATAAGTTATTAGCAGAAAGGTCAATAGAAGTCCAGAATCATATGCACTAAAATCTAAGAGCATGGAATGAGCTGCCGGAGCCGATACCAGGATGGCGCTGATTGCCTTTTTGTGCAGCAAGGAGGTGGCTTTGGAGGCCGACAAACCTGGTTGTCAGTGTTGCCTGTGCCTCTTGGCAGCTATTGACTTGGGCAAGTAGCAACTCTCTCAGGCTCCAGTGTCCATGTCTTCAGTGTGGGGGTGATTATGCCCCCAGGGTGTATTTAACCCTGTCTCCCTTTAGGAAGGTTTTCAACTGGTCCCATTCAGCTAGCCAGGGAGTTCGGGAGAGGCATCCATTCACCTCAGTACCTAGGCCCCCACCTTTGGGACATTGTAGAGGGTTGTCCCCCAACAGGTGAGTCAGATAGAGATTGAACAGGTAGCTCAGGCCAGAAGTCACTAGAGGGGACTGGCAAGGAGTTCCTGGATGCTGAGAATAAAGAGCTAGAATAGGTCAGGGTGCTGACGTTGGACGAAGCTTTGTCGCCATGCCCGCCCACCTGGGTGCTGATGCAGCCCCCACAGGACACTGGTCCCATGATCTATCTCCTCTCCTTTCTAGATACAGATGCTCCTTGACTTATAACATGGCTGCATCCCAATAAACCCATCGTAAAGTCAAAAATGCATTTAATAACAACTCACCTACTAAACATCATAGCTTAGAGTAGCCTATCTTAAACATGCTCAGAACAATTACATTAATTAGCCTCCCACTGGGCACAGTCGTCTAACAAAATGCATACACTGTGGAGTATCAGTTGTTTACCCTCACGGTGAGGTGGCCGACCGGGAGCTGAGGCTCCCTGCCACTGTCCTGTAGCACGAGAGGGCAGCATACTGCGTATCTCTAGCCCAGGAAAAGGTCAGAACTCAGAGTCCAAGTGCATATTGCTTTCACACCATCATAAAGTCAGAAAGTCGTAAGTTGAACCATTTTAAGCCGGGGTGTCTGTACTTCCCTTAGAGCCAGCTGTGTGCCGGAGCCAGCTCGTACTGGCTTGTGGGAGCTGATTGTTAAATTTGCAGGATCTCTGCAAGCTGGTGGTTAAACACAGCCATTACAAGAAATTAAATTACTTAAACTTTAAATAAATTGTATTAAAAAACAAAGGAAATACTAAAAACTCATCACTTCTTTTTATTTTACCACATTTTACTATTATCTGTGCTCTTGAGGTCATTTATATCTGCTGTATTTTATGAGAGACATAGAGGAGAGATTGAGCATTTTTTCCTGATCCCGTCTTTGATGACGTCATGTTGGTCACTTGAAACTGGCTCTGAGGAATGTATTTGTACCACAGAGATTGGGGAACATTACAAACCAGGGCTTGTTTTATTGTTTTGTTGATTTTACAGTCTTAAGAATGTGATGGCTGAAATGTTAATAGTGCAAAATAAACTCAAAAGTATGCCTGTTGAGTCCAAAACCAGTACATTGGGAGTGTCACAAAAAATCGAGGAAATATTGTTCCAGGATGTGAGCTGTTATCCAATGCAGCAAGCACATTGCTCATGTCATTGATGAAGGAGTTCCGACATGCATCTTCATTGTTATACTTTTGTCTGACAAATTAACATGAACAGAAATTTCAACCAGGGTCCATGTCGGAACCAGTGAGCAACTTCTTGCTGAGTGGTCTTGTTATCAGGCAACTATTCAGTCTAATTTTGTCCACTCATGGATTAATGGCAGTAATAGTTGTTTGTGCATACAATAGTTTGGCAAAAAATAATAAACATTCTGTGAGAATTAATTGGTGATATAGAATTTATAATAAAGAGTATTTTCAGTAAAGTGTTTGTTATTTGTAAATTTTGTGCAACACATTCTTCATCCCAGTAAAATTTACACACACACACGCATACTTTTCCCCTTGGAGAGCAGTTGTTAAACACCAGCACATCGCTTCTAAAATCCGTCCTTGGGGCTCCTTTGAATCCAATTCTCTCCCCAAGGACTCCCAACCCTCTCTTAGTTCTCCTTTCCCGTCAGCCTAGGAGAAATGGTTTTCTAACCTTCGGGTAGATTCTCCCCTTATGCTTACTATTTAGAGATGCTCTGCGTCCATCACTAGTTCAAGGTTGGGCTTTTAGTAGGTGCTCAAAATGATGAGGAGGATAACAACGGCAAGGCCTAAGTGGCAGTTCAGAAAACAGAGCATCAAAAATTAATTTTAATTTGAGGTCCCTACCACACACTGAGAGGTCTTTAGCACCAATCAGGAAAGAGACGTGGTCTGTTCATTGATCTGCAGGGTGGATGCTGGGAAATTCTTCTCCCAGATAACCCCAGGATCACTTCAAACGCTGGTCTATGCTTAGCCCTTTCATATGTGTGCCCAGCACTCAGCACCTGCCTGTTTGCCAAATTGCAGGACACAGATTACTTACTGAATGCTTCTTAAAGTGATTTGCCTTTCAACCTGTTGCACAGATGGGTGAACTGCCCCGGTGTTCACCATAGGTTTTACTTACGTCTTCGTGCTGATGTGGTGGAGGATCATGGGGTTCCTGAGACCCGATGACCTGGTCTCAGGTGAGCTGCAGGGGGCAGGGGTCGGGGTGCGGTGGGCTACATAGAGAGGAGGTGACCTGGGCCAAGGGCGGGCTCAGAAAGTGCGTATGCACAGTCAGGACACCAGGTTTGAGTTCTGCCTCGGCTACTTGCTAGTTTTGCCTCTGTGAGCCTCAGTTTCCTCATCTGTGAAATGGGGGCACCAGCAGGCCCTACCTCAAAGGTTTGAGAACTGATTGAGATACCAGATGGGAAATCACTCTCCAAGCTGTAAAGGGCAGTGCACCCATAGCAGGGGATCCCCTGAAGCTTCCCCCAAGAAGTGGGCAGGGCTCTCCCTCCCAAGGGCCGCCCCCAGACCCCTCTCCGACTCAGGGCCAGACTCGGTTTCCATATTTGTTCATTTGCTTTCCAGAGCAAATATTTTTTCATCTGTGGCATAGGAGGAGGGTGGAATTTTGACATGAGACACACAGTTTTCCCAGAGCCCCGCTCTGAAAGTGTTTCCAGACCCCCACACGCTGGGTCCTGTCCAGGGTAGAAAAGAATTTTCATGGATGGCTTGGTACATGGGTTTGGAGTTTTTCCTCCTTGTGAAATCTGAAGTGGCAAAGCTGACATTCTGCTTTTAATTGATCCTTACAAAATCCCAAGTAGGCATTTTGCGAAAAGTTCTCAAGTAGGTTGTTACGTTGAAAGCTTCGTGTTCTAAATGAAGTTAAATAACTAAATCAAATTTAGTTCTTAAAAACTGTTTTCTTTAATGAGATGGGTGGCAGCCCACTAAAATATTACACAAATTTCAGGGTTATTTTATAATCTATTTAGCTCTACCTTGTATTAAAATTGTATTAAAATGTTTGTTGACTCAAATTTCGGTCTTCCTAAATTATCTACTTTATACAGTCTCTCTTACTGTTCATTTGTGTTCTTCTGTGACAATACTCAAGACTCTTTAATGATTGTTATTACACAGAGTCCATAGCCTTCACAGTCTCTGTGTGTGTGTTCCCCCTGGATCTGGCACTACGGAGTTGCTAACGTCTTCCAGATTTGGGGTCTGACACCATCCTGGCTCTCCTGATGGGGCAGGCTGGGTTGCTAGTTCCTGAGATGTGATCCCAAAAGCTCTCTCTGAAGCGTGTTATTCTTGCAGTAATAAATATTACATTTATGTTAAGCTGATCAATACAATTTCCATATGTAAAGCAACAAAGAGATTTTTCTAAACCTCTAAATTAGATGTAGAAGGTGAATAACACACCTTGTGTGTTTCATTGATTAGATGGATAGAAACTGCCCTGATTACCAAACCTCTGGTGACACATGGCTGGGTGACTGTCTTTTTGACATTCCAGAAGCCAAAGTTAAACCCAGTGCTAAATGGCCATTACTGTCTCAATGATGCCGCCAACACCAATCTTGGGTGCCCATGAATTTTCTACTCTGAATGGTAGTCAACAAAATATTAACCATGTTTATCTCTAAGTAGTAGAATAAGAAGGAATTTTATTTTGGTTGATAATGGTTTTCTGGATAGTCAAAAATTTCAATAATAAACGTAAATGGTGTAATAAAAATTTTAAAAACCTTAGAAAAATTGCTACAAACAATAAAGATCAAAGTGAAGCTGTGGTATATTAGACCATTGTTCACTAACGACTCCCTCCCCACCTTCAGCAGAGTATGCTTTGTGGCCTCCTTGAGGCTGTTCTTGTCCACATGACTTGCTTTGGCCAAAAAGATGAAGGCTGAAGCCACAAAGTACCCGTCCCCAGCCTAGACATTAAGAAGCATTGGGTGTTTCATGTCATTCCTCTGGGAACTTCCAACATCTAGCATAACAGCAGGCCTCGGCCCATCTAGCCTGGACCTTACGATGACAGACCTGTTACACACCTGAACCTGACCTGCAGCCAGATGCACAGCTGTACCAGGCAGCTCACATATCTGAAAGCGAGAAGGAATGCTAATTAAAGATCATGGGGTTGTTTGCTATGCGACAAGTGCTGACTAATACAAAAATCTAACCAAGCAGGAAGTGTTTTTACTGCCTACTGAGTACACCCTTGCCATGCCTGACAACCCTAAAATAATATAATACAGTTTTTGCTTTCAAATAGATAATAGAAACATAGGTAAAAATAAAAATCACCCTATGTTACCACTGAAATATAACCACTAACAACATGTTGGTGTATATCCACCTAACCTCTTATCTCTGATGACAGATGACACTGGTTAGAACAAAACTTTGGCAGCACACATCACTTTTCTGAGCTGATCTCCCCGTGGCTCCCATCTAACTTGGGGAACTTTTGTCACCACTTTTCAGGCCCTCCATGGTTTCCCACCTTTGCTCCCTGACCTCATCTTCTCTCCCAACCCCCCCAACACACTCTGTATCCCACCCTCAGCTCCTTCTGTGCCATGTGGTGGGAATGTGCACACGACAGATACTCATATGGCCCGGTCCTTTGTGTCCTCCTGTTATTCAGGAAGAAATTCCCTGGCACCATAGCTAAAATTTCATGCTCGCATGCACCTGCACACATGTACACATATGTATGGCACATGCACACACATACACTTAAATGCATGGTACTTGTATATGTGCACACATACTGATACTTCACGTTCCTCATTCTTTGCCTCACTGCTCCATCTTGGCCCCTTCCACACTCTAACATGCTATACATCTCACCGATTTGTAACTTATCATCCATATCCCCTGCTAAAATATAAATTCCACAATGGTAGAATATTTTGCCTGTTTTGTTTACCACTGTATTTGTCCATGTTTAGAATAGTGCCCGGCACATAATTAGACACTCAACAAATATTTGAATGAGTGAGTGAGTGTGAAGTAGCTGTGATGTAGCAGACACATAATAAAGAGTAATCATCACCACTAGAGAGGTTTTTAAAAAGATGCCCTCTTCTTCTTACATTATAAATGCTGTTGAAAGCTGATAAACATTTTTAAATGGAGACTAAATATGTAAAGTCATAAAGACCACTGGTAGAATCTGCAGTAATGGTAACCAATAAAAGCGAGGAGACAAAAGGAAGAAGAGGCAGTAGACGGGATGTATGTGAACAAGATTTCTCATCTCTCATCACCGTACATCACTTAAGGTTGACGATTTAAGAAAAAGCATTCTACCTTTAGTTCTTAAAGCAGAGGCCACAATGTCGTGGAAACTCTTCCTCAAATGTATTCTATGTGGTCCAAATATTACTTTTAAATACTTTTAGTGAGTTGCAACTCTTTTCCATTACAGTTTCCTTTCAATATTATTATGTTTGTTTCAAGTGTACAGCATAGTGGTTAGACAGTGATTCCTTAGTTGCCAACCTTTGAAATGTGGGGTATTTCTCCCTTCTCTTGAAAAAGACAGGACCCTGATGGCCCTGCAATTCTCAAGTCCAGACAGCAGGTGGCGCAGAGTAGCGGCTCTTCCTGTTACATGGGGCTTAAATTCCTTGGTTTGCTGCTGCTAAGCTTTTCATTCCTGGTAAAAATATTTAATGGTACCAACCTAAAAAAAAAATAGATACAAATAATTCTAACAGTAGGTATGTCAAGGCGGCGGGGCCTGGAATTTTCACAAAGATGGAAGAGGAGAGGAACTCACCATTCAGAACCTTCTACACTGTGTGCATTCATGAGAATTCAGGTACGTATGTCGTGTTCCAATAACAAAGGAACTAATGAAAAAAATTATTTAAGAATACACTTTTTACTTTAGAAAAATTTTAAAACGCTGAAAATATAAAGATCAAAAATAAAAACTCTCCATGCCCTACTAGTTACCAAAAAGAAAAAAAAAATTGGTATATATTATCGAATCTTTTGTCTATGAATATAAATCAAGTTAGTTAGAAATGAAGGTAGGTATTTGGATGGATAGATATTTTCATATTACTGGGATGACACTGTAGGTAAATGTGAGGGGCTTTGCTTTTTTATATTATCAAGCATTTCACATGAAGCTGAGTTCAGATACACATTGTCTTTGCCAATGTTAAGAATCGTATCAGCAATTTCTCCCAGTGTCTGGCTTTTCTTCACTTCTGAGTGTGTAGTAAATCGAATTATGGGCTTACCAAGTCAACATTCGTTTTCCTGGCAGAGACGGAGTCTGCCAGTGGAAACCGAGTGTTTTCATTTTCTTTCTTTCTCCCTGTCATTCTATGCTTTTCTGGTTTCGTTGTGTGCATATTTCCCCCCTTCATT